TTAGTGAAAACTGTTGTGACTAGTAGTGCAAACACAGAAAATAATGCAACTGGGGCCAATTATTACCTAAAAGGATAGATTTATATCCCTTCAATGCTTTCTCATATCTTGATCAAAGATAATGCTTGAAGGCATAGTCTGGATTGCTTTTTTTTTTTTTTTTTTTGTCGGTCATGGAGCCTGAACTGCGGGTCTGGGCACTGTCCCTCAGCTATTCAGCTCAAGGCTAGCACTCTACCACTTGGAGTTGTAGCACCACTTCTGGCTTTTTCTGCTTATGTGGTGCTAAGGAATCCAACCAGGACTTCATGCATGCAGGGCAAGCGTTAAACCACTGAGCCACCTTCTCAGCCCCTGTGGACTGCTTTTAAAAAATAATTCTATTATTATTAAGGTGTTGTGTAGCGAGGTTACTATTTCATAAGTCAGGTAATGAGTACATTTCTTTTTTGGACAATGTTATCCCTTCCTTCACTTTCCCCCTCTCGTCCTTGCTCATAGGTCATTTTCACACTCTACTGAATAGCATGACTACATTTGTTTACTCTTCCTCCCTTTATGCACATCCCCATAAGAAAGAAAACTCCAAAGCAAAAACAAACACCACCACCAACAACAACAATGATGATAGCCACAAAAATGTGGATTGCTTTTTATGTGCATGTCTCTTATCTTTTTAGGAATGTATATGAATTGATATGATTATTCTCTGATTATGCTAGCTGCCATTGACTTAACTAGGAAATAATTGTTACAAAACCACCCAAAGTGGTGAGTTCAGTGGGGAGACACGATGAGTTTTGATCTGTCATTATAAAGTAATGACAGCATTTATATTCTTCCTGGATAACAGCTGGCTGATATCACACACTATCTTAAATATGGAATGGAAGGTTCAAGACTTCATAATATTGCTGAAGATGAGGAAGTTGACTATGAAAACAATCATAAAAATTGATTTTATTTTAAAAGCAACATTCCTTTGTTTAAGCTAAGACCTATACACTAAAATTGCCAATCTAGATCAATGGCAAACTGTAAATATCAAGAAATCAGTGCAGAATGGATTAAATTATACTTTGAAAGAAACTTTTTTTAATTTTAAATAAATTATGCTAAACAGACAAGGCAATCAAGTCAAAAGCAGCTGCATACCAAAATGACATGAGACTCTTCTGTGTAGCTGGAAATGAATGTAGATCTGGCTCATGGCTTATATTTTCTATCTGAAACGAGTGCAACCTTCATAACTAAATACTCAACATTGATAAGGCACAGCAGCTCAGCTCAATGCACAATCAACCATCCGGATCACCCTTCCTATTTTTGTGACATTCCCTCACTATGAGATGAGTGAGAGACATTGTACTTATCTATTATGAAGGCAAAGATCCATCCTCTGGTAGAGTAGCTAGTGCTAATAAATCCTTACAAAAACAAAACAAGAGAAAACAAAAGCTGCAGCCTAAAACTCATCAAATGATTGCCTCAGTTATTTAACCACTCATGGAAGCAAAAAATAGTACATGGATAAATTTCAATGGTGCTTCAATTATACAAACTCAAGAGTAGCAGCTTAAGCTATAGTACCCACTGAGGTACATTCCTTTGTGTATTGCAGATATGACATTAGTACAATCTAAATAGGTCAAGTACCCTCAATCTAGTATACCTTTCATGTGCATTATGGATAACAAATGATATGAAGGAGAGCTATAAAGGCTTTATGCAGACATGGAACTCTAAGGAGTGTGTTATCTAAATGGCAAGTTAAATAACTGTTTGATAGTCTTTATATATTTGAATATTAAGGTTTTCAGGTAAAACCAGAGAGCATAAAGATTATGCAAATCATTTTTATCCTGTGTGACTCATCATCAATGTATTAACACAATACAAAAATTATTTTTAAATACACTACATACAATGAGTAGTAGACTGCTTATTTAAATAATTTAAGTGGCTTATTTATATCCATTAGCCATTATCTATTTAGTGTCTGAATTAAACATTTTCCAAGATTTCAAGTACAGCATACATTTTGTAAACAATTGTCTTCCCTTTTATTTTCTTCAAAGTATTTGAATTTTTGTGTGTGTGCCTCTCCTGGGGCTTGAACTCAAGGCCTAGACACTGTCGTTAGCATTTTTTGCTCAAGAATGGCACTCCACCAATTGAACTATAGCTCCACTTCTTGCTTTTTGGTGGTTAACTGGAAATAAGAGTCTACTAGACATTTTTGCCTAGGATGGCTTCAAACTGTGATCCTCAGATCTCAACCTCCTGAGTAGCTAAGATTACAGCCATGAGCCACCAGCATCCGGCTACTCTTTTCTTTTTAAATGACAACACTGACCTAAAAGATATCAATGATTAGGAAGTTCATGAATTGTTTCCCATTTTTCTCTGATGCCTGGAAAGACAGAATCTTCAATGTTAAGGAATTCTATATTGGAGAGTAAACTGTTTCACATCGAAATGGCTTGAAGAATTACCAACACACACATACACACACACACACACACACACACACACACACACACACACACAAAGTAATTATATTTGGCATGTTCATTTGAGACATTAGGTTGTAGGTTTAAATCATAAGCCCTAACTAAATAGAACTCCTTTTTTTGCAGAATCTCTACTTCATGAAGATAACTTCTCATTTAATTCACTTTTGTATTGATACAGTTTATTTCTGGATTTTCCATAATAATCCAGGAAGTTAGGCAGAGAAGAAAGGCATTTCTATTGGTTAGAAATAACATGACTTAAAATACGTGAGATTAAAGAGACAAAGATCAGACACAGTAGTGCTGGAATTATATCCAAGACCGCTTGAAGCAACACATGCAAAAAGCTCAGTATATGGCCTGACCCTGTGTATGGACAGAATAAAAGAAGTCACCTTTTTTCCCTTTAAGTAGCTCAGTGTTTTTTCTACTTTAACTCTCTGCTTAGTGCAGTAGATTGAAGTAATAATACAGAAAATAAATACAGATGAACTCCCAATGATTCAAAAATGAAGAAAACAAAATAAGCCTTTTAGACAGAATATCTGCTGCAAAGAACGGGCTGGGAAGGTGGCTCAGTGGTAGAGCTCTTGCCTCGCATGCCTGAGGCCCTGGGTTTGATTCCTCAGCACCACATAAGCAGAAAACGCTGGAAGTGGCACTGTGTCTCAAGTGGTAGAGCACTAGCTTTGAGCTGAAGAGCTGAGGGACAGTGCCCAGGCCCAGAGTTCAAACCCCACGACTGACAAAAAAAAAAAAGCAATTCAGAGATGTTTCTGTGTTAGTAATTATCTTAATCTTTACCACAACATATTTCCATTATTGAATTGGAATGGTCTACAATAAAAACAAGTAACCATAAGGCAATAAAAGTAATGTCTCAAGTATATCCTGAGCATCCCTAATCCGAAAACCCTAAATGCTCCAAAATGCACAACTTTCGTAATACCATCATGACATCACATGTAGACAATTCTTTATGACTGACCTCATGTAATAGCTGCTGTCAAAAATATTGCACTAAAAATATTGTATAAAACTATCCTCAGTGTTTACATTGTGTAGGACATAAAAATTTTGGATTCAGACCCAGGTCATGGGCACAACATAGTTCATGTGCATAAAAATATTCCAAAATCAGAATAACTCTGGCATCTGAAATACTTCTGGTCCCAAGATAAGGAATACGCAACCTGTTGTATACCATTTGAGAAACTCCTACATGAGGGGATACATCTCCAGTAGGCAAGTAGCCATAAATAAAAATGATAATGAGGTAAAACTGGTCATGATGAGGGTAAAACAATATAAAAGAATTGAAAAGGTTCTTGTTAAGCTTAATTGATGTTGACATCTTTTGAAACAGATGTCAAATGCATCATAGCAAATCTTATTAGTTAAACTAAGAATCCAGTTTTTGCTTCTATGCTTGCATATGTACATCTTTATACTTAATTTGAGGGTAATTATGGATAAAAGCATGAAAATCAGTATGTTCTCTTGTTTGAAAATCATGCATCCTACTCTACATAACACTTGCTCTGACCTCATCTTTTTGTTTATACTCTACTGAATATGGAATATTCAGCTTTGATGATCTTGGCAGTAGGCCTTTCCTTACAAAGATACTCACAAATCTGAAGGTGACCACTCAGGAGTTCAAGAAGAAAATTAAAGGAACCGAGTTTTGTAGCAGCAGGATTAAGTTAAAGACCTCCCCCAAATCTGACTGGTCCTTATCAAATGTGTCTTCACAATATGGATAAGAAATATATTGTAATTCACTAACATTCTTCTCTGGGTAATAAGAGGATTTTGATGACTGTATTAAAAAAGTGTAGATCCCATACAAAAAAAAAAGTGAAAGGATAGCAAGGCTGCAATCCTTTCCTCCTACAAAAATTCTTGATTTTTTAGTTGTATTTTGTTCTTGTCTTTTCTTTTTTGGTACTGGGGATCAAATCCAGGATGCTGCACTCGCTAGGCAAGTACCTTGCCACTGAGCTACATGCCAGCCCAAAATCTTGAATTTTTATCCTTTAAATATATCTATCTCCCTAAGTAGGCTTTGGTGGATGGGGCTTCTAATTAGCTTAGTTCTACAAATATGAAGTCTACATGTCCCCTTTTTAAAAAACCCTATTGTCACTGCTTGATTTTGCTATCGTAGGTATTCTATATATGTTTATCTGAACTAGGAAAGGGAAGGGGAACAAAAAAAGGGTGAGACAAAGGACAAAGGAGGAACCTATGCAATGATCTGTACAACTTGGGAGGGGGTAATAGAGGTAAGGAGTAACAAGTTTGACAAGAAATGTACTCACTATCTTACTTATGTAACTGTAACCCCTCTGTACATCACCTTGACAATTAAAAAACGCTTCCCAATTTCATACTGTTATTAACTGTATTCATTACATCACATTTCAGAAAACATAAAAATCAACACATTGAAATAATCATGTGCATTTAGATGGCACTCACCTTTAGAGAATCAAAACAAGCCACCACACGGCCATTTTCCACGTGGCAAACTCTTGACGGATGGGCAAACCTGCACTCAGTTTCAGCTCGAGAGCAAGTTCCTCTCTGAAATTCTCTACAGACTTCTAAAGTCAGCCACTTGGTATCACGGATCAGGGCAACATTGACAGCCGTCATATTGAAAGCAAAATTACAATTCAGTGTACCCTCTTTGGGACAGTATGACTATGGATTGGTAAAGGAATCAAAATGAACTTGAGCTAAATGTGAAAGCGAGAACAGGTTGCTTTGGTGCAGTCTACTTGTTAGCACTTAGGTTTTTATTTGAGTCGAATCTGAACAAGTCAAACCAAAAAAAGTAACTTATGAAATCAAGGTTTTTATCACAAGAACTAAAAATCAAATTAGAGACCAACTCTTAAGAAGGCAAACTGTAAAGGTTAAGATATCAAATGTTGTATTTTGTTCCTTTGCTGAATTTGTTTCAAATAACTGGCAGACTTTCAAAAGAATTCTGAGCTGTCTAGTTGATGTTTTCAATTATTCTTACAAAAAAAAAAACATATGCTGCTGGCTGCCCTTCAATTTGGAGAATGGTCTCCGATCAGGGAAAGAAAAAGTCTTTCTCCTTATTTCGTAGCTTGAAAGAATAAAGGTGGGCAGGATGTTATCTAAAATTTTTTAAAAAACAACAGCTTGCTTCGAAGTCAGGGGGAGGGGAAATGACTAAGACAACTGAGAATCACAGGAAAAAAAATAAATGGACAAGTTGCTAAGAGTCAAGTACAAGCACACCAGTTTGGTAGGGGAACAGGGGAGGGTGTATGGAAGAGGGGTTTGAAAAGAGATAGCTCTAGAGTAGAATCCAAGCAGCAGAGTTTTCAGAAAAGGCACTTTTCAGAACCTGCAAGAAAAAGATAAATGAAATTAGCTAAAACACTACAATGCTTCCATTACCAACTCTAGATTTGGAAAGAAAAGCAACCATATCTTTCACAAAGCAGGAAGCATCTTCAGACAGACAGTACAACACAGTATAGTTAAGTGATTGTCAGTAAAAGGAGCATTTCCCAGTGTAAAACTACAGAACAGAAGGAAACCACTCCTTAGATTTACTGCTGGAGTACAAAAGTGGGCAATGGCCCAGTTTTTTAAACGATTGTTTAAAAACAATCGTTTTTACTTTACTGTCAAATTTTGCTTTGGTGCAAAAAAAAGACCATAGCTTAACATGATGGGCCCTTATGTATTAATAATCCCACTTAATGTGTCTCCACTTGTGAAAGGTGACTTGTACTTGTACTGGAAGTGTCATTGTTGCTAATTACATCTAACCGTCATGACATAACTAGCTGTAGGCTCACTACATAGGAGTTAGGGTGGAGAGGGAAATAGAAAATGTTCATCAGTTAAAAAAAATACTTGAGAAGATCCTAGAGTGTTTTTGCTGAGAATATTTCTTACTATATGAAAGGAAGTTGGAACAACTCAGAACAATTTGGCTCGCACAAATAAAGCACAAAGCATAGCTCAATAATACATTAAATACTGGAAAGTTTGAAGGTTCACACTTGAACTCTGGGTCAACCAGCAACAGATACATGCACTGGTGGTCCATGCCTGTAATCCTAGCTACTCAAGAGGATTATATCTGAGGATCACAGTTTGAAGCCAGCGTAGGCAAGAAAGTCTATGAGACTCTTATCGCCAATGATCCAGCAAAAAGCTACAAGTGGAGGTGTGGATCAAGTGCTAGAGCACTAGCTTCGAGTGAAAAAGCTATGGGATAATGCTCAGGCCAAGGTCAAGCCCCAGTGCTGGCATCCAAACAAAAAAAAAGTTTTGCAATGAGCTAGTGACAATGACAATAGTCTTTAAATATACTAAAACACATTCTCTGAACTATGCACTCTAAATGAATAAATTGGATAGTCTGTGAATTGTTCCTTAGTAAGGTTATATATATTTTTTAATCTAAAGATACAGGACAATAAAAATGTCTGCTGTACGATATGATTGGCTACCCCAAGCTTTCTTAGACTCTCCATAGACATAAAACCTTCTTAGTAATTTTAGTTAAGTTTCAAGAGTAAAGCAGTTTACGGACTGTAACTGGCTTCGTGTGTTAAGGAAAGGACTCTGCCAAGAGCACATTCTAGGAGCTTGTAAGTTTACATTCAAGTTGAATCCCACAACTAAACACATGGGAAAGAAAAACAAGCAAAGAAGATATATATATGAGGGTGGAAGTCTTGCTCAGCACATAAACAGTGAGGATCTGGAGGGAGACTTTTCTACCAAGACCTGTCAAGTATAGAAACAGATAATAAATAATAGACTTGAATTTTGAACTTTTACCAATGAAAAATGCAAGCAGGAACTGGCCTCTGGCCATTCATTTTATGTAACATAAGGAATGGGGGAAGAAGGGGTTATTTTTTGGTCAGGGGGAGCCTTTAACCTCAGATGGGACCCTGGCCAATTCCTCAGTGCAGTTCCAGCCAGCACATAGCTTCCTTTTGACTGGAAGTATTTGGGGGCACTGCATCTGAAAGAGACTAGATGCAACAACAAAAGGAGCTGGTGTAAGGATGGGAACAGGGTCTCATGCAGTTCTACTTGTCTGACTTTAAGCAATAGGGTTATATTAGAAAATAGTTAAGTCTTTATTAACATCAAGTGTGGTTATACAAATGGACACTGTCAATGTTTATAAATTGGGTACTTGGTCAAAATAATGCTTGAGAAACACTAAAAATGAAAAATATCAGGGGGAGGTACCCAATTTCCCTGTATTCTTAAGATCAATGTTATTTTGGGAGAAGTACAGCTTTATCTTCATAGCCTTGGATTTAAGTACAGGAATGAAATTTTAATTTTTATAATTTATAGTTCCCCAATGTAGAGCATGGAAAGCTGCCATGCCTTTGTGTATTTTTACTTTATTGTATTCTCCGTCTGCATATGCTTGAGTTGCATTCATCTTTGGAGCTCTCAAAAATACTCCAGTCCTTTTTTGGTCTCTTCAGTGCTGGGTATCAAACTCAAGGCCTTGTACATGCTGTCTCAAAAATACTCTAAGCTGGGCACTGGTGGTCATGCTTGTAATCCAACCTACATGGGAGGTAACGATCAGAGAATCAAAGTTCAAAGCCAGCCTGAGCAGAAAAGTCCTTGAGACTCTTCTCTTCAATTAACCACCAAAAATACTGGAAGTGGAAGTATGGCTCATGTGGTAGACTTCCAGCCTTCAGCAAAATAGCTACCCAAGAGAGACAGGCCCTGATTTCAAGCTCCAGTACCAGTACTGGCGCACGCATGCAAGCATGTGTGCATGCCCTCTTGCACGCGCACACACACACACACACTCACTCACTCATATATACACAAACACATACCCTAAAGCATTAGTGATAAGTTGAGTATGCTGATGAAGGAAATGAAGTCCACCAAAGTAAAATTACAATTTGACCCCTGAATGGTTAAGTCATGACTAGGCTAAAACCTCTGACTGAGTCTCATGCATAAATCTCAACAGAAAATGTAGGAGTCGGCATTTCTTATCTTCCAGAGGAGTTATAAACAAGGAAACCAATGATTTCCATACAGTATATAGGTTTCCTTCCCCATTTTGCTTCTTTATTGTCTTAACATTCCTCAGTTGGGTTGGGCTAAGAGTGATCATCTATGTACCAGGTGTGAGACATTCTTCTAAGAAGACATTGCCCAAGATTGATCAGTCCTCTACTTCTGTAGAACTTCTTATGTTCATTGAAATAGATCAGTGACATCATCAAGTAAGTGGAATGATGGTTAGGGTTTATGAAGGGAAGGAAGTAAACACTAAATATCCAGCTTAAACACAAGCTTCTAGTTGACTGTGAATGGAAACCCAGGTATTGTCACTTAATACTCTGAACTCAGACATGATTTTACAGAAGTGAGTCACCAAAAGAAACACCTCAAAATTACTCACATTGTTTTCTTGCTCTTTGAATTCCTGTTGGAGAGACACTACTGGTCTCACCTTACACATAGGAAAATGGAGGTAGACAACGTTGAAGGAATTTTAACTTGCATAGCTTTGTGTAGGTGGTAGGTGATAAAAAAAAAACCCCATGGTTTAAATTAAACCTTAAGCTGTTTAGAGTTTTAGTCACCTATCTTGGATTTGAATCCCCTGCACAGGTAGAGTATTTGCTCACAATCTGAGCCTTCAAAATAATGCTCATGTCTGAGACTGTGAGAAAAGACATAAAGAAACTATAAACACTTAAATGTACATATATATTATACTCACTGCCTAGCATAGCCTTTGAAAAATTAGATTATAGATTTTAAAGAATTCACTTTTTTTCTCATGGTCAAAGTAGGGGCCAGCTAGATGTGGTTCCCCTTACTCCAGAGACAGAGATTGGAAGGATTACATTAAATGAGTCTATATCAACCAACAAGCTAGGCAAGGAGGCACATGCCTGTAATTTCAGCTGCACAGGAGGCATAAGTAGGAAGATCACAGTCTGAGGCTGGGTCCAGGCAAAAAGTGTGAATGAGGCCATACCTAAAAAATAACTAAAGCAAAAAGAGGGCTAGGGAACATGGCTCAATGTCTGTCTAGCAAGCGTGAGGCTTGGAGTACCAACCACACTACCTCTACTACCACACTACAAGAAAGAAAAAGTTTGAGGGTAAAACAGAGAAGGAATTTTTGTACTGAACTAATGTAAGTATGAATTTGTTCCAGAACTGTTTGAAAAGGCACTATCAATAAGTATTTTTGTCCCCATTTCCCCACACACTTCCCCACACACTTTCTTGATCTTATTTCTTATGCCTTCCCTCCAAAATCCTGTATATCACATAGAAACACAGCCATGCTTGATTGGTCTCAAAGATCACAAATATATTATTTTTGCATCAGTGGCTCATGCCTGTAACCCTAGCTACTCAGGAGGCTGAGATCTGAGGATGGCAAATAACCAGCAAAAAGCCAGAATCAGTGGTGCGGCTCATGTGGTAGAGTGCCAGCAAGGAACACGAGATCCCAGAGTTCAAAGAAATGTACTCATTACCTTGCCCATGTAATCGTAACCCCTCTGTATGGTATTTTCACAATTAAAAAAAAGAGTTCCCATAGTTCAAACCTCAGTACCAACACACACACACACACACACACACACACACACACACACACACACACACACACACACTATTTAGCATCCAAACTCAAGCCCACAACTGAACAGGCATTCCTTTAAATGCATTTGTCAAACTCCCAAAGAAACCATGAAAACAGTGATTTCTTTCTTTCCATTTGATACTTTGTTTAATATCTACATGACTTCTGAATTTCTTGTGGCCATTGACTTTGGCTCTCCAAATGTCTTCCACACCTGTCACACTGCTTGAATTGGCACCATGACAAGATTTAAAAGCCCGTGTGATTTCAAATTTATTTGGGCCTGGTTTCTTCTCATGCTGTAGTTCATGACCCACCCCTGCATATACTTAGAGGCATAGGTAAGGTGGGAGGCATTGCAGAGGATAGCTCTAGCCACAGAGGCATCCTATAGTAAACCCAAGACTTCTGCCCAGAAACAACAGGGCTGCAAAAAAAAGGAGATTTTGCCTATTGCAGAAATTTTTCATCATTTTTATAGCCTTGTGGCCATTTTTTTAAAACAATACTCCTGGGATAAGATGCATTGTAGCCATAAGTTGCTTTGTTAAC